TGCTTCCAACAGCATCAAGAACATCAATTGACTCTACTTTCCTGTTTAGAAGAACAAATAAACCATTTGCAGATTTCTGTATACAAGCAGAACAGACTGCCTAACAAACAAAATAACGACTAAAAAAGTGCTGTAGGTTTAGCTTTAGATATAAGAGCTTAGTTTCACAAGATGTTTTACAAATATCCTCAGCAATTACTGAGTTAATGAATCTGAATGTTCCTTTATACACATTTTTTTAACTGAGCAATCAGCGCAACCTGCAAGTCTGAAACATTTTAGAGTAAATATAAGGGAAGACTAGTCTACAGACTGTAACATTCTTCCTTTTCTTGAATGAGTATCAGAATTTGTGTTAGATTCAGGCTACAAAAGAGTCTACAACAAAAACACAGAGAATAAAAATCAGAGAAAACCCTTGGTATCATAGATGGATGTACTCTAAGATAAAGTGTATGACAGAAACAGAGAAAGTTGCACCTTCGGTATGAGTGAAGATACATACCTTGTCTCCCACGGGCGTGCAGTAAAGGCATATGGCTTGGAGGTAAGAGCGCCAACTGGGCAGATGTCAATAATATTTCCTGATAACTCGGACATGAACATTTTTTCAACATAAGTACCAACTTGCATATCGTTTCCTCTTCCAGTTGTTCCCAAGTCATCTACCCCTGCAACCTCACTAGCAAACCTAGTAGATGCAAAAAGAATGAAAAATAAATCTGGAACATGCAACAGCAACATAGCACATTTTTCAACCCTTAACTCATTTTCTTAAGATAAAACAATAGCCTTAGTTCATGCACCTGAAAGAAGAAAACAATTATTTACATTAGTCAGTGCCAGCACACACAGGACTGCACATCTGCAGAACTGCATCCAGACAGGGCTACAAAAACTACGTGTGGTTAAATGAAATAACAGAGCAGTTCACTGCTCCTTGAATTTCACAGTCCGAGTCCAAGATTAGTCCTAACTAACAAGTTGTTTCCAGAACTAGGTGGGTACATTGTATTGTTTTCCATCTGGCTCAGGTCAGCTGGTACTGAATCTCAGGACTACAGAACAGCATAAATACAGCTACCAGAGGCTGTCAAGAATAAATCTTGCAACTATGGCTAAGTCACTTAATGTTTTAAAATCCATTCTGGCACTAACACCAAGGGACCAGTTCTGCCCTGTAGAATTCTGATTTCATTTTCATGTTTTGGCCATCTATTTCCTGTACGACAGCAGTCTGGTAGCTCTGGGAAACCGGCTATCAGTCCCTACCAGAAATAAAATTCTTAAGTACAGTCAGAAAATAAGTAAGAAAAACTTACTGCCTCTCATGGTATTTCTTTCACAAGTAACAAACTCATATATATACACCTGCTCAGTGCTCCCTCCAATGAAAAATAAAGGATATTACCTGATACATCGAGTGCACTGTATACACCGAGTCATGATCGTTTTGACTAATGGGCCAATGTTCTTGTCCTCCACAGCACGTTTTCCCTCTCTAAATCTACTCCTATCACTGCCAAACATCATGGATTGATCCTAGAACAGACAACAGAAAGCACAAATATCCAGACTGTTGGAAAGCACAGCTTCACTTGAGACAAGAGTATTAATACGTAAGTCTACACAATTTAATTGGATGTTGTACCTGTAGATCACATTCTCCACCCTGATCACAGATAGGACAGTCCAATGGGTGATTTGCCAGCAGGAACTCCATTACACCCTCTCTGTTGGGTTCAACAATTAATGTCAATTTTATATCATTTAGCAGATAGTACAACTAATCAGCTATAGAAGGCTAAAAGAAAGGTACCTTGCTTTCCTGGACTTCTCAGAGTTTGTCAGTATGTTCCACCCCTTCATAACTGGCATGGCACAAGCAGCAACTGGCTGCAATCATCATATAAAGCAAGCATGAACACAACATATTTCTTCTCAACGTGGGCACAAACCCCAGCCTCTCCCTCCCCCCAAATTCTTACATAGGCATCTGTTATTAAATTAACACGTTGTAGAAACAAAAAGGTATCTGAAAAGAAAAAAAAAAAGAAAATCTAACCAATAAAGTTGCTAGAAGCCGTATTTATTAATAATATGGTATATTAAAAGGTTAATTAGTTGTGATTTATTTTTAACGTTGAAAATTTTATACTTTCGGGTTCCAATTCAAGTAGTTAATAGCAAGAAGAAAGTTGTGACAGATATAAGACGTATCAAAGAGATTCAGCAGAGATCTGGAAAACCTCTAGAACTGAAGTTCAGAGTATGCATCATTTATTTGGACAAAGCCTATACAAAGAGTCTTGGAATAAAATCTTTCACAAGGTTACTGCAAGATTAACAAAAACTCCTGCTCAGAAAACAAATTCATTCTACTTTTCAATTACATCACGAGACAGACCATCGTGACTTCTATCTTTAGTGATGACCCAACATTTCCAGAGCACGAAGCTCAAACTATGGAATTCAAGTTGAGATGAGCTGAAGTTTTATATGTGAACATAAGCATGCAATCCAAGACTGAACTCCAAAAGAATGCTTAAATATGCATAAATTTCTTAATACTGCTGAAGACAGCCTTCAATCCTGAAGTCAATTACTGTTTTACAACAGACAACAATGGTACATAATGCATTAAAATAGAAACTAATAAGTAACCGCAATCTCTGCTTAGCTAGAACAAACCTGCAGACACTAATCCTACAGCTGAGTTCACACAGTATCTGAAGTTTACTATGTGGGTAATATAAGCTGCAAATGTGCGGCTGACACCTCAATTATAGAAAATAAAAATATATCTGACTGAAAATGCACAGCTATCAAGTTCTCACGTCCAGAAGCAAGATAATCCTTAAAAGCATGAGAACTGACTTCAATCCACAGGCAATCACTGCAGTCCAGTGGGAAAAAAGTAAAAACCTGCTTCGAGCAGCTGAATGACAACAATTTGCGTGCTAATGATAGTACAAACAATTATTTACAAGATTTAAACTAGGCCCTAAGCACAGCAGAAAATTCTAATTCCTATGAAACATGACCAATACCTTGGGAGCTTTCTCTATTTCCACAAGACACATCCTACAGTTTCCAGCAACAGAAAGACGATCATGGTAACAAAAACGAGGAATCTGAATTCCAACCTTTTCACAGGCCTATAAAGAATAAGAAACAGAGGAAAATTAAATTTAGGTAGACTTTTCAGTTCCACTCATAAAACATGATTCATTTTTTCAAAAAGTAACAGTGTTAGTACTCAGGAATATCGTGCATTTGACCTTGTATCTTAAGAATTGACCATAAATAAAAAACAGCGATCAGGCAGAAACATGTCAGGTTATCAGTTACAAATATATTTCTTCCAAAATTTGTAACTGATTGAGGAAATGAGAACTGACCTCCCTTTCATTCTTTCCTCCAAGAACAGAGAGAATTCTCTCTAACAGATAGGACACTAGCAATGAAAGCAACTTTTTAGAGAAAGCATGCACCATTTAAAGAAAAGCGCATATAAGAGGAAAATTTGAAAAATGTAAAGGAAATAACAATGGGCCTAATGACTTCTGATAATTCAACAACTTGGACTCTCTCTACAAAGGTACTAAAGCACAGTCAATCCTCAACTTCAGTAGAACCTCAAACTCAGAAACATTCTTCCACGACATGTCTGAAGAAGAGACAGGAGGACAGAGATGACATATTTCCAGAGAACAGATGAAGATGGCCTTTCCTGCGTAAAATGCCCATGGCTGATGGAATCTACGCTATAGCGCTAGCTACGCCTGCCAAAAGAAACACCACTCAATTCAAGAAAAAAAAAACAACGAACAAGATCTCATTTTTTCTGTCAATTTCTAAAAAGTTATCACAAGTAAGCAAAATTAAAAAGCTAATTTAAAATAGCGTTTAAGAAAATATTACATTAGACTCCTGCTAGGAGTATTCTAATGCCTAAATAAATTAGTAACTTGTAACCAAAATACAAGGGATATATTTTGAAATAAGCACTATGTACTTTAATGTTCCAACTCACTACACCATGTCCCCATTTAATGGCTTCTTAAAAAGAAGTTAGACTGGAAAAGATCTAGTTGAAATTTCAGCCAGAAAAGCAACGATGCCGAGTACAGGCTGGAAGATCCAGGTTCCATTTCTTCCTACACCAAGAATAATAAAAGTAGCAAAGGATCAGCATCCTGAATCGTAAGAACTAATAACCAAAAGGAGACAATCCCTCATTTACCTGAGACACCACTTTAACAAGATACAAAATTAACAGGTTCTGAAAGACCACCAGGTCACGTGGAGTCCAGAGCTAGAATTTCAACCAGAATTTATCAAAGTCTGTTATCGCATTGCATAAGTTTTTGCAGTTGGGATTCAAGTTGCCTGCATCTTCTTTCAGGCTACCATGGCAGATGCTTCTTTTTCAAACACTGAACTCCCCAAATGATTTCTGCCACATGAGATTGTATCACAGTCTGTGAAAACACCCCCGAAGAATTGCAAGAAACAACGCAAAGGGGTCTGTTTTTTGCTACACAGAAAACAACATGCTGCCAAGAAGTGAGGTGGGGAGTCCAAGAAGAATCCAGCATGCCACTCCCCACACCTGAAGTACTGTGGTTCCCGGGTTTACCAACACAGGGTGGCCATCCACAAACACCTCTATTTGGTTGCTGGCCGCTGTCGCAGTTGCACGCCCTGAGAGACACGGAAAAAAAAAACCAAAAGCTTTCCGTTACTGTCAGGTGCAAACCGTCAGAGCTCCACGCCTCTTATCCTGCAGTTACACCGTGCTGGTCCAATTCCAGCTCTACAGACCGCACAACGCGGGGCTCCAGGCCGCAAAGGAGGCACGCGCAGACGCCCTTCGGCAGGGCAATGACAGGTACACGCGTTTTATGGCCACACGCATACACCGGTCAGACTTACCGGGCGCTCTGGAGGACCGGGCGGCCCCAGCTACGGCCCTGCGGACGGCGGGCAGTCGCAGCATGGCGCTGGGGTAGGAGAGAAAACAGCGCGGAGGTTTGTACCGGGTCACACGCAGGCTCTGAGCGGGCAGCGACCCGCGCCAGCGG